TGGGGGGAATCACTTCTAATAATTTAAGTGGATGTTACTACAGTTCACTGTCCCTCCATTGGGTAGAAGCGCATGCCACGGGAGTCTGAAAGTGTTTCCATGATGAAAGGCAAGCTGGTTGGGACACCTTGCCAGCTGAATTGTTGACGCATTGTTTCCATCTTACCAATGAAAGGCTTTTTTTCTTCATGCCCTCATAATCCAGAGGGGAATAATTTTGTCTTTTGTGAAAGCCTACAAATAGTTGAGGTGGCCTCTGGTTTCTAAATTAGGTAGCAAGATTAACACTAATAAAATGTATTTCCTTTCTGAGAGAAGGTGAGCTGGCAGAGGCTCTAGCTATACCTAGGAGCTTGACTTGAGCTGCAGAGGGTCTAAAGGTCATGCGCTCATGTGGGAGCAGCTGGCAGGAGTGGCTTTATGCTCGCCCTTACAAGTCACAGAGGACATGAAGGATAAGGCCACCAGTACTCGGTGCAGCCTCCGATTCTGGACTCTAGTTTGAGTTCTACATGTCCCAGTGAGAGAGTCTGATTTTAAAGCTCCTGTAACTTTGAGAAGTTTGAAGACTCCTCTGATCTATGCTGGTACTGGCTTTGCCTCCCACAGTAGCACGGAGCAGCTGTGAACACCACAGAGCTTTTCTTTGCTCTTCTCTGCCTATGCTCAACTGCTCGAGCTGTGCCTTTTGGGAGATGCAGCACAGAATCTGTCCCATAAAACCATTCCTGCATAAATCTGTTCTTACCAGTGCCACAGTAAGTTCAGTAGTTTAGGATTTTTGCATCATTCATCCACTGCTGGGTTTGTTCATTCATAAGGCTGGATTCTGCTAGGTACAGTTTTACAGTTCTAGTTGAAAGGTGCTGCAACTTTCTAATCTTTCACCAGAACACACAGCCATTCTGGTTTCTGTCAGTGTACTTAATTTTTCTTTCATGTTGAATGACAGCTTACAGCAGAAGGTAGAAAAATGCCTGGAAGATGGTATTCGCCTTCCTATGTTGGACACAAAACAGCTTCAGAGCGAGAATGAATGTCTCAAAGAAAAGAATGAGAAAGCCAGTAAGGTTAGTCTGCAAATGATCTGCTGGTGGCATCTTTAACCTTGAGTTCTGCATTTCTTTATTTTTTTAACTTAGAAATAAATATCTCACTAAAGAATTATACATTTGTTGCCAATTCACATTTCTTTTCAATACCTATCTGTTTCTGTTTAGTACATTTATTTTGCATGAGTTACCTGTCCTATCAGATTTGAACTCTCTTGTCATTTGCATTTTCAAATATTTAATTTAAAATCTATGGCTACACACCTGTAAGCTGATCTTTTAAAAAAGGATCTGAAGAGATTCAAGCCTTTTAAATTACTCAATTTTGTATTCTAGGTCATAGACAATCAACAAAATCAGATAGCTGGACTGATTTTAGACATGCAGGTAAGGAAGAGTATGTATTATGTTATTTACTCTCTCAATTTTTTACTTCATAAAGATAACATTACTAATTTTGAGTTTCATCCTTTTGTCTTTCCAAATAGGATGCTAAAGTAGAAATGCCAAGAAGTTAATCTTATGGCCTGTAGTTGACTTGTGTTCACTTGCAGGCTCATAGTGTATTTGTTATTGGTGTTTGTATGGTTTAGCCCTTTGCCAATACTCACCGTAAAGTGAAAAACTGTTGCTATGTAGCATCCTTATTCTGCTGGTCTAGTGGATGTCATATCAGAACTGCCTGTTTGAAGTGTGTGGACTGCCTCTGTAAGTAACCGTGAAGCTTCGCATCCAGCTTTGGAGTTCAGATGATCATCTAAAGTACAAAAAGCAATTTTGGTTAGGAGCTTCACTGCTGAGATCCTTAGTAGAGACAAGTGCCTTTCTAAACCATACCGCTTCACATTTCACTTCGTTTAAGCTGGTCCCTGTTCAACTGATTTCTGACATGTCACTCAGATACCTTAGCTCTTGGCAGATCTTGGGTACCTAGTTTGGAGCAAAGGATTTTTCAAGACAGCAGAGGTTGTCAGCTAGGAGTCAGTTGCAGCTCTGTGGATCAGATTAACACATCAGGCTCATGATACTTGAAAGTTACTTAGTGACCAGTGTTTGTTGTGGAGAAAAGAAGATGTTTTGCAGATTGTAGGGAAGAAGGTATGATGTGCTCTAGAAAAAGCTGTGCATTTTAAAAAAAATCTGTTTTCAGCAAATACTGAAGACAAATTCAATAAATTTTAGTTTCTATATTCTTCATTGTCCTCCAGAAGTTACAGGGCTGTCCCTTGAGAATGAAGAAGGTGCTTCTGCTTTGGCTTTGTGTACGTTAGGTTTGGAAGAAAAACGAAATGGTAGTAAATGATCAGCTGAATGCCTGTGCCTTCTGAAGTGGAAGGGAGCATTCTATGGAGCTAGAATCCAAATAATGAAGAGACACAAAACTGCTTGCATAACTCTTGCTAAGAGAACGTGCTTTTCTTATTTCTACTTTGCACCCTGGAGCCTTATTTGTTTTCTTGTAGCTTTTGAAAGTAAGTTGTCTTCCACCATTAAATTGCTTCCTTTCTCTACTATGCAGGTAAATTGCAGGTCAGATTCCTGTTGACAACCATATTTTTGCTTAATTAAATTACAGTGTATTGAATACATCTGTAAGAGAAGCAGTAGGGGAATTTAAGTTGCAACATAACATACACCTGTTAACTGTTAAAAGCAAAATCAATCATTTAAGTGTCTCTAGGTTTGAAGAAGACAAAATTTATAAAATTGAGATGTTTTCATGGAGCAGCCTATTGTATGCAAAAATTGTGTGACACAGGCAAATGTAGTTTTGGTTATTTCATAATTTAAAAAAATAAGTTCAGACTGAACTTCATAACCTTTCTGAAGTTCTCTGTCCCTCTTTGAAGTTTAGTTAAGATTATTTGCATACATATAGTACGTGTATATCATAGAATTATAGAATGATTTGGGTTGGAAAGGACCTTAAAGATCATCAAGTTCCAACCCCCCTGCCATGGGCAGGGACACCCTCCACTAGCCCAGGTTGCTCAAAGCCTCATCCAGCCTGGCCTTGAACACCTCCAGGGACAGATGGGGCATCCACAGCTTCTCTGGGCAACCTGTTCCAGTGCCTCACCACTCTCACAGTAAAAAAATTATTCCTAATATCTAAATCTGCCCTCTTTCAGCTTAAAACTGTTACCCCTTGTCCTATCGCTACACTCTGATAAAGAGTGTTTCCCCATCTCTCCTGTAGGCCCCTTTACCTACTGGAAGGCCACTATAGGGTCTCCCCAGGGCCTTCTCTTTTCCAGGCTGAACGATCATATGTTGTGCTTATAAGAAATACTCACAACTTGCCTAAATGTGTTAGCACCAACCTAAATATTTTCATACTTCCTAAACTTTATCTGTTTCTCTCCATCACCTTTATCTTGAGACTAGTGGTCGTTGTGTACGTTATACGGAGACTGTTTTGTGTGCTTAGTCTGAAGTGACTTTAGGGCCTGGGAAATGCTGAGTAGTTGTGACAGTCTGTGAACAGAGTAGCGTTCTGTTCTCCAGGATTACTTTTATTCTGTTGGGGTATTTTATATAAGGACAGAAAATAAGATTTGAAAATGATATTAGCCCTCAGATTACTTGTAGACTGCAGCAGCTTTGTATCCTTGATTGCCTTTGCCTTTCACATTTGCTCCCTGGGGAAGCATTGAGAATTAGTTCATAAGAAACTAAAATCCCTTATCAGTGCAGAGATACGATTTATCTTCAGCTCAGATCACATTTCTTATCTTCTGCTACGATGTAAACTTATGCTTGCGAATGTATTTCAGTTCATTGCTTCTAACTTGCAAGCTGAAAACAAAGAAGTTGTGTTTCAGATAGCAGTTTCTGTTTGCTCATAATCGTGGTGGAATGATTTTGATCTTCCTTGTATGGTTTTGCTTGGTTGATTTGTTCTTCTGAGCATGCAGGGTTAAACTTCTGGTTGGTCTTGACAAGATGTCATGCTGTATATATAGTACATCTTCAGAATGAGAAAAATTATAGATGAGAGTGGTGTAAAAAATCTGTATTTACAGGATTAATTTAGGTATCACAAAATTATCATTTTTTTATGGGTATGAAAAATATGGGTATGAAAAGATAGGGTCGAAGTAAGTAAGATTGCACAATGCCTGTGTTACCCAAAGTATATCTGTCAGTCCTGTCAGTCACAATAAACCCAAACTGTGCCTGCCAGGCTGGGAGTGATGCCACCAAATTGTTACTTTGGAAAGCATATGGAAAAAGTAAGGATGACGTATGGAGGACTCTCAGCGCTATGAGCACTGGGAAATCGTAGCACTTACAGTCTGAGCCAAGGTGGTAAGCAAATAATTTTTTTCTGAGCTTTAAGATTAGGGTAGCAGAGAATGATAGATGTTAGGTGTATCTTTTTAGAAAAAAAACCAACATTTGATTTCCGCTTCCAGTAGTTCCCATTAAAAGGTGCAACTCATGAGCTGAACACATGTGTATTATTTGGAGTATTCTAGAATTTGTTTTTAGAGTAGTTTGCGCAGTCATGTCAATTCAGTGGCAGACACAGTTCTGAAACCATGCTGGGGAAGGCAGTATTTCTGAACCTGTCTTGCTCACCAGCTACCCACGCTCAGGAAGGCTGCACAATCAAACCTTTAATGTCTGGCGTTGGCACAAACGTGAAACATTAAGTGGTAGTACTGGTGCATGTATTGTGACTGGGGCTCTGGCTGTCCCTGAACTTGCTCATGGAAGAGAAGTGCATTAAAAACTGTTGAAATTTGAAGGTACTTGGAAGCTGGGAGGGTGTTTTGGGCACCTGCTATTACTCTTCTCTTCCTCCATACACGTGTTCTGTTTGGCTGCAGGCAGACAGCACTAGAGGGACCTTTCGTCTGACCCAATATGGCCATTTTTCTCAGTAGACAATGTTTTTAAAAAACTGAAGAAGATGGTTCAACACCACTCTGGATTCTGCTCATCTGCAAGCACAACAAAGGAAATGCCTGAAGCAGAGCTATTTCCTGCCCTCTCCTGGCCCAGGGTGTTTCCTTGACATGGGGCAGGGCCCCCTTTCTTCCTCCCCTTCCTTCCAGTGGAGTGTGAAGCTGTGCTTGCTTATCTTTAGGATACACATTACTTCAGTGCTTCCTTTCGGGGGGCACGTTCTGGGTGAACTGAGAAGCAGGTCAAGTGTATGAAAATGGTTTTAAAAACAAGTGGTCATTTCTGGGCTCTGCCTGCTGATTCTTGTTACTTACATGAAAATAAAGTGTGGGGTTTTTTACTCCGTATTAAGTGTGTAAATTTTAGCGCTGTTGTTTTCCAGTTTTGTGAAGGGTATGACAGAGTACCAGCTCTTCTCACTGCTTGGGCGGTGTTGAGCTGAATGCATTGGGAAATTTTGTCAAGGCTGCACACCTCCTATGAGTGGCCAGGCCACTCAGTGTCAGCCCTGCCTTGCCTCTCATTACCTCCTGCCTTCTCATCAGCACTAATAATTCTTATAGCTGGCAAGTCAATTAAATGGCTTCTCATCCACTCAGTGGGCCACATACACGGTAAAGGGTAGGCCTATATATAGTCACAGTCTCTATGTGCTGCAGTCCCCAGTGCTGCTATCCTGAAGGTTCCATTCTTCATGCATCTTAGGAGCAACTCGCACAAGAGTAAATTTATTGTCTTTTACAAAGCTAAATTGTTTTTCAGAGACCCCAAAACCAACATAGCTTGACACAATTTGCTGTGGTTCTGTGAAGTGGGGAGCTTGGGGTTTTTTCTGTCTTTTAATAAAGTAGCACAGTCATAGTGCAGCAATTTAAACCTGTCTTATATTAAAGAGCGACGTTGACCTTTCTATAGCATTTAATTTAAGCTAACATATAGAATGCCCTGTGAGAGAGTTCTCTGCTTTGGAAGAAGAATCATTAGGATTGTTCCTGCAGAGATTCAAGAAAAAACATTCTTGTGGGACAGTGTCATTCCGTAAATTGAGAGCCATCGATTTGTGAAATGCAACTTCAACTCCCCCATTATAAATCTCTGGTTCCACTCTGTGGGAGGTTACAGTCAAAACTGTGCTAAGGCATGCACCATTGTCACCAGTGCTCCAGCTGTATTTTGAGCATGATGGGATCAGATTTGCATCTCATAACTGAAATTGGGCAACAGGATTTACAGATTAATGTGCTGAGATAGGGCTAGGGAGGACACTTTATATGCACAGTGCTAGCACAGCATTGGATTTGTGAGTGATACCATTAATGACAAAAGATTATTTTTTTCTTCATGACAGCTGGAAACAGCTCTCTGTTTTAAAGCATCAGGAGTTTATATAGTCACTAATCATTGTTATTAGTATTCAGGTAAGATGGTTTGAATATTGCTGTTTCTGAATTTTGCCAGATGACCTTGAAATACATATCTACAGATCTAAACGTGAACTAGTGGAATAAATATGAGTGCTTTTAAAAGCAGACACCTGTGGTCATGCTGAATTCACCCCCAAAAAATCCACTTTGGAAATATCTCATGATTTAGATTGGATATTAGGAAAAATTTCTTCATGAAAGAGTTGTCAAACACTGGAACAGGCTACTCAGGGAAGTGGTTGAGTCACCATCCCTGGAGGTATTTAAAAGACGTGTAGTTGTGGTGCCTAGGGATGTGGTATAGTGATGGTCCTGGCAGTGCTGGATTAACAGTTGGACTTGATGATCTTAAGGGTCTTTTCCAACCTAAATGATTCTGTGACTCTGTTTCAACTCTGTAGGTGAAAACTGGGGAATTGACAGCAGCTGACTCCATGTTGCTTCGGGTGTTCATTTGTTGCTACTTGTGACTGATCTGAAAGTCAGTCCTGGAAAGCTCAAATACTTAAGTGCAACTGCATCCTAGAAACCTCCCTCTGTTTTCATTACTGAAATAGTAATTATTGTATCTGTTAAAAATCATAGAATCATAGAATGGCTTGGGTTGGAAGGGACCTTAGAGATCACCTAGTTCCAACTCCCCTGCCATGGGCAGGGACACCTTCCACTAGACCAGATTGTTCAAAGCCTCATCTAACCTGGCCCTGAGCACCAACAGAAGTGACACCATAAACTACAAATAAGTTACTTTTTTACCTGCAGTTGTTCTTTCAGCACAGTAGAATTGTGTAGACTGTTCTGATTTATCTTGTGTGTGAATGGTTTTAAAGAGCTTGCTGCTCTGTATCAACTGTCAAAGGCTTCCTCTCAGCTGTATAGAAGGTGAAATGTATTCCGTGTTGTGAAAGATTGTAGGAAGCCCTGCCATAGTCTTTGGAAAACAGAGACAAAAAAAAATATCTTCAGTTACAACTTGGAGTAGCACAAATAAAGCTTAGCTGTCGTTAATCTGCTACTTACTTCAATTGAAATGATTTAATTAGAAAAAAAAACAATATTGCATGGTTATTTTAGACTTCATGCATTCCATATTGGAGTAATGTCTTGCATACATATAGTCTTTTTGTTTCTAAATAGATACTGCTTATTTAAAGGCTTTCACTGATATTTGCAATAGCTGTGCTAGTATACAGAGAGCTGTCGGGGTCCAGTTGAATATTACTGGGTGAAAATGGTATGAAATAAAACATGAAGAATTAATACAAAAAACAATAAATAAATGAAATTTAGAAAATTACTGAGGATGCATTTTTCGTCAGTGCTGATATAAAGTATGAAAATTTTAAATCATAACTTGTGTTTTCATTCCATTTAGTCTATGCAAGAGAAGCTTTTGCAAGAAAAGCTGATAGTTCAGAAGATGACAAATGATCTTGAAGAAAAAGAAAGGAATATAGAGCAGTTAAATAAAACGCTGTCTGAAGTAAGTAAAAACTCCCAAAACCCAACCCCTGACCACACCATCTGAGAAGAACCTTACAGAATGATTATAAGATTTCATGGTAGGGCTTTATGAGCTTAATTACATACCTAGCTGTGCTGCCTGCCGTGCAGACGTATAAATAGATACCATCACTACCTCAGGAAGTGAGAACTTCAAGGATGAAGGTTGCTAAGCAGTGGTAACATGAAATACACAACCCTGTAAAATCTATCTGCCATTCTTTGGAGGAGTACAGAAATATTTATTACATGTATGGAGAATAATTATGTTTAATTATATTGTTTGTGGTTTGAAACAGGAAACTTTCTGCTACAGTACATGCTGCAGACTTAACTTTCCCCTTTTTCTATTTCCTTTTCACAAAGAACCAAAGACTGATGGAAGAGAATGCCTCCCTGAAGGAGCAGATGCGGCAGGTGGAGCAGTCCAGGCAGCCAGTGTCTGAGAAGATGCCTATAGCAGACCAGTTGTTCAAGGAAATGTCCCATTGCTTGTTTGACTTGAAAGCACTGTGCAGTATTCTTACCCAGAGAGCTCAGGGCAAGGAGCCTAACCTTTCCTTACTGCTGGGAATTAGATGTAAGTGATGTCATTCCAACGCTTAATAGTGTTTTGACGCAGAAGAATAACAGCTTAGCTAAGTGGTGCTCCCCTTGCCGTGCAACTGGAGCAGTTGTGTGTGAAGTGTACTCCTGGAGCTCCCTGGAAGAGTTGGGCTTTTAATGCACCCAGGGCTGCTAAGTGCATATGACCACACAGGTCCTTGCCTAGTCAGGAGAGAAGGTAGCTGGCTCTTTGTATGGACCCAATCATGGATACGTTCACCCCACTAGAAAAGAAAGGCGTGTAGCCACATGTCCATCTCTCCTGAGACACACTGCAATTGCATTGAGGGTTAATGGAGATGCGTTTCTGTCAAGGTGTTCTGCTCTATAGACTCATTGTGAGGGAGGTGAGGCATAAGCAGGCCTGATGTGGCTACATCACACATTTTGGTTTTAAAGCTCCTGGGGTCAAGTGGTGGGAATATACATCTACTGTTCGAACATGTGTATGTCTGGTTTGGGGGTGGGGGGGCAGGGTGGGTATCTGCCTGTATTAGATAAGCCTAGTGCTAGGCAACTCCATCTCTGGTACTGTTAATGGTACATCAAGTCTTCAGCACTTAGTAAGCTGTTAAACTTAACCAGGAGGTGAGAAGCACACTCTAAAGCCTGTCAGACAAAGCTTCAGCATAGTGAGTTTGTATAAGGTCTTTGCTTTTAACAAACTTAACCTGAATGTATCATATTCTGTTGTTTTCTGGGTGTTAATTAGAATTAATCATAGACTAGTCGTTGAACTGGATGTTCAGCAGAGTAGAAAGGTGTTATGGAATAAATCATAGGCTAGTGTGAGTTTCAATTTTAACATAAGGGCAAATCCTATGCTAGCAACCGGCTGTGCCTCTTTGCTCGTCTGCTGACCTTGGCAGCAGAACAAAACATCGGTCTTATCAGCTTCTCCTGAGCCTAAATCCAAAACACAGCCTCTTGCTAGCTATTTATGAAGAAGAGGGAGAGAAAAGAAAAAAAATTAACAGAGTTAACTTTAAGTTAACTTTAACCCACGACAAAAGGTGAAAGTATAGTGCCCTGTGCAGCAAGAGCTTCTAGACACCACGTAGACTCATCTGCACTGTAAGCCCCCGAAGTCCTGGGGAGTGCAGCGTATGCCTGTCTCAAAAGTCTGTGAGACGATCATCAGCCAGCAGGATGAATAGTGCTGCTTCTCTGTGGTACCATCTCATCGTCTTACATGGCCTCATTTCCCAAGCCCTCTTACCTCTTTTCTCAGTGGCTAGAAACCTCTAAAAATCTCTAGAAAATAGCTGTTCTAGTCAGTTTTTTCACTGCTGTTGGGATCCATTGGACTTTAGCAAGTCTAGAGCTTGGTGCAAACAGAACAGCATGTCTTTCAGAGAAGCAGTGATGGGCTCTGAATTGACTTTAAGTTCACGTGGTACCACATTTTGTTGGCTTTTCATCCTACTAAAGCATGGTTTGTCTTGATATAATGAAATTAAAAGTGACCTACACCTTGTTTCAAGGGGAACTGAGTAGTTGAAGTATTCACAAAGTGCAGTTCCTAGAACTTTAACCTTGGGTGTTGTTTTTTGTAGCGCTGAGCTGTTCAGCTGAAGAGAATGAAAACTACCACAGCACAGAAACCCTTTCAAAGAAGCTCTTGGACGTTTGTCAGTTACGAAAGGATATTGATGAACTAAGGACTATAATGTCGGACCGTTACGCTCAGGACATGGGGGACAATTGCATTACTCAATGACAACATTTTGTTCTACTAGCAAATGATTTATTAAATGCTGCTATGTCACAGGTCTTTGCATTTCTATTAAGGAGCCATAATGGAAGGCTGCAAAAAATGCTGCACGTGCGTCTCTGAGGATTGTGCATATTTAATTTGGGAGTCTGGTGGGCAGCGGAGAGTCATTATTTGAACAGAGTGGTACAAACTCCAAGAAATCTTTTCTCCAAACTACTGAATGTAGGAACAAGCTGGGAAGAATGATTCAGTTGGATACTCGTTTTCTTCATTAGGGCTTATTTTATTATTTCACCTAATTTCTGGAATCAGAGCATCACAACAGACAATGCTGCTACTACCTTCAGTCCTTTCCTTCATCAAGGGTTTGTGTGGCATTATCTGTGTTCTGAAATGAGAGAAGAGAGTTGAAGGAGCTAGAGCAGTATGTGGTGAAGCCGGAGGCTTCTACAGTCTTCACTCTAGGAATTGCACTTCGCTCTAGAAATTAAAATTGGAACAATCTTGGAGCACTACAAAAAGTAGTTGCTCTTCAAGTTCCCTAAAAAATTTTATATGGGAAAGATAGTGTTTTTAGTAATGGATGTCCAGCTTGTTTGCCCAATAGTGGAAGAAAACCAAGTTTTAACTCCTTTATACAGATGAAGTCCATAAAATATAGCGCTATAAAATTGTTTTCAGCATTCTCACATTGCTGTAAGAAGTTTCAATAACGTGAAGCTTGTGACAAACCCAGAGAAGCTGGAAGGCATGAAACTGCAGCATAGTATGTGGCTGCCAGAAAAAAGAAAAAGTGGACTGTGTTTTAGTGTTTGTACCATACTTGTTTTTTCCTTAGGTCATCTCCATTTTAAAATGTGGCTGGTCTGTGTTTGGTCCCTGAAGGCCTCTGATGAGATTTGTGAACCACCTCAGTCAGTTTTTACCACAGCTACAAAATAGGTGTTTAGCACTTGGCAGAATCAGGGCTCAGAACAGAATGTTTCCACTTAGCAGTATTAAGTACTCGGTTATCTGAGGACTGCAAGATTTTCCATATTGTTTGGGAACTGTTGATTTCTCCATTTATATAGGAAGCAATTACATCAAAAAAACAAGATCATGCTCCATAGTTTATTCAGTGAGTGTCACTTGGCAGTGCTGTTTCACTCCCATGGGACCCGAAACATTAATTCTTCTAAATTCCTGGAACTTTACTGCAAGTTAGCTGCACAGTTATGCATAGTGTAAAATAGTAGTTAACTGAAGGAAACAAACTTGCAAAGAGCAAAACCACTCCCAGATCACACTGTTAAGAAAATACGGGCATCAGTTACATGAACGGTATTAAAGTTTCAGATGACTAAGGTGCAAGTCAGTCACTGACCCATAGTGTGGATAGCAGCAGAAATCTCTTAGAAAGCTTAGTGGTTAGAACCAAGTAAATTCTAGGGTAACATTTTTATGGCAACAGTTTTCTGATTATGTTAATAGAAAAAAATGGTATAACAATGTAGACTGGTTACCAGTTTTAACTTGATGTTTTGCTTTCTGTTCATTGTTAAACATTTACCATTAACGTTGTTTTTATAATTCAGTGATTTAATTTTTTTTAGCTATATGGACTTATTTATCTGACAGTTTTCTCTATCCTGAACCTACAAATGGACTAATTTGTGAAAAACAGTGTTGCTATTTATATTATTGCTACATGGTATTTTCGGATAGATTAATCTGAGTGGTTCAGCTCCTGTGAGCACTAATACAGTGTCTAGATTAAATCTCAAGTGAAATTGCCTAGTGTCTCTACTTCAAGTTAAAAAACAAGGCCATTTTATTTTAAATTTCTGTGTTCTTTCTGTAGGTTTGAAGGTGTACTTTTATACTAGTGCAAAACTGAAAACAAGGATCTTTGCACAAATGGGCTTGCACAGTTTCCTGTGCCTGTAACAGTATTGGCTTTTGTGATTAGGGTCTCAACTCATTCTTTTGGTGTAGTTCGTTGGTTTTGGCCCTGTAGTAAAGTAATAGTCTCTAGCTTATGGCATCTGTGTCATATCAGAATTTAACAATAGCTTTTCAAATAACAAACTAGAAGTATTAGGAAGAGAGGAAATGCCTAAATTGCACGTTGTTATTTCTTTAGATGGAAACATTATACCTATAGAAAATTACCAAGCAACACATTTTTCTAAATTTGGTGGAAATAACAAGGAGTTTGATAGAGTAATTAGAGAGGAGCAGGAGATTTTTTCTGAGTCACTTTGAACTATTAAGCTGGTCACTTGGCTGCTGTGCCTCCAGTGTCCCTCCTGTTAAATGGTGATACAGTACTGCAGAGTTGAGATCAGCGATTTATATTTGCAAAGCACTTCAGGAGCTTTTATGCTCTTCAAGTATTAGCTGAAAGTCCCTCAGGAAAGAGGTCCCATTTTATTTGTAATACTTTGTTTGCAGTGCTGTAATCTTGCATTGCAATATTTTTATTACGGAACCTGTAATATTTATGTTGACTTTAAAGCACTTGATTTTTAAAAACCCTGAGTTTATCTGCCTCAGTCAAATTAAAGCAGGGAGGTAAATGATGGATGTATGAGCCAAAGATGCAGACTACCAATTGACTGTCTATAGTGATACAGTATTTTGCTTTGATTTCTTAAAATTTGGCCTGTTATAGTAGTAGCAATTACTATATATGCATCAGTTTATGGATGCCTCTAAATGGAATAAGCTTTGTCTAAGATATGCATGATTGTTTAATTGGATAAAGTGTAGTGTGTGTGGTCTCATTCAGCATATTTAATACAGAGTTGATTAATGAATGTTAACATTGGAATTGCTTCGATTTAGTCATGACAACTTCTTGCTGTAGCTGTTAGACAATCTCAAGGGCTGAAAAACAACCGCTAATGAATGGATACTGTACCATTCTGGCTGTCAGCAAATTTGTACAGTAATTTTTTGTATAGTTTCAGATTGGATTTATACAATCCTTTAGAAGATACTTACAGTAACTACTGTATTCGAGAATGTATTTTGAAAAAGACTTAGAAACTAATGGTCCTCGGACAAGCTGTAGATGATGCTATGTATTTACTATGTAGAAGTAACACAGCTCAGTTGTGTAAACGTGATTTAGGTCGCTAGCCTCAGCTGTGCAGCTTTGTAGTGTGATAGGTGTGTGAAATTGTGGAGGTTGCTGTAACCACCCACTCAGGCCAGAATTTGGAACGTCTGGTGGCTATGAAGTCATTACAACAGCTGAAATTTTGTCCTTTTCACTTCAAAAGTTTTCCTGCCTTCCTTCCTTTGGCCTCACTGCCTGCCTTTTGTTTCAAATGTTTTTTGGATGTTTTTCTTGCAGGGTAAGTGCACAAGGAAAGAAAGAAAGGAAACCCCTTCCTGCACGCCCTGTTGCCCTAGCATGGGCAGCAGTGGCACGCTGCAGTCTCTCCGCATAGATGTAATTTTCTCCAGTTTTCTTTGTCTTTATCAATGATGTTGAGCAGGTGAAGTTGGAGGTATAATTGGATTCTTCTCATTGATGTGATGAGCTCTGTCATGAGTGGGGAGAAGATCTTCTGAACTAATCTGCATTCTTAGACTGCAGACAAATCAGCTGTTTTTATCTAAAGGGATGATTTATTCCAGTAGCTCATTAGCAATATTAATTCCACAGCTGCATACCTTTGTGCCTTTTTTGCCTGAAGTAAGTGTATATTCCCCTTGAACTTTAGATAAGTTGTTAGGATGCTGATGACTGCACCTTGCTCTCTTCTTACCTGCCGATATTTTGTTTATAAGCTTTTGTAGTAAGAACCCTTGCATAATGTCTAGAAACAGAAGTACTTAAACTAGGTACTAGGTGTATACTTTGAATGTTGGGCTCGTCATAGTAGGCAGCTTTTTTTAATATGGAGCGTGAGAGGAAACTCAAATCATAATGTTTTGTGTATATTGATTACAGTATATCATTAGTTCAGTGGGAAAGA